GGGCGTTGCAGTGTAGGCATATATGCTTATTTTTTATTGAAAGCAAGTGTTGCCTACAGAAAGCTGTAATGCACTGTTTATAAAACAAAGTAGAGATCTATACAACAGGAAGTCGCAGATGAGGCATTAGTACAAGGGTGCTGAAAAAGCTGAACATAGTTGCACAGTACCACTGAATGTCTCTGGTTGTTTTTTCAGAGCAGAGGGCAGCAGTAAGATCCAAGCCCGAATAGAACAACAGTCTGCCCGAGCATCCCAGCCTCCTTCACAGTTCAGAGCCCCCACCAAGCCAGCAGTTGGACCTAAAACTTCTCCTCTGAAAGATAATCCTTCTCCTGAGCCTCAGCTGGATGACATTAAGAGAGGTAAAGAAGGGTTTGCAGTTTCCTGTTTGGTTTTGTCTTTCTTCTTTATAGTAAAAACTATGACCATGCAATTTATAGAAACGTTAGAATGTTCGGGGATTAAAAGATAGTATTTGACAGCTGGTTTGTCATCGTTATATCTCATTTTAGGGCATCTTAGTGAATTATTTATTCTCTTCTGCCAGCATAGGTGTTTATGCTGCAGTTTTCTCTGGCATGAGAGGACTTCCTCTTTTTGGATAATTTTCTCTCTTCCAAATTATTTCTCTGTTCTGAAAAGAAGACAAAATAAGTGTGAATTCAGAAACCTGTAGCTGAGTGCCTGACGAGTTGAATGGGTGTCTTAGGCAACGACAACAGCGAGAACTAAAGCTAATGGTCCAAGGTCTAGTTATGTAATCAAGTAACTTGGACGAAAGTTATTCCCGCACTGCGTAAGGTTGGAGCCATTTGCCAGTGGGATGGAAGGGCTGGGTGGCTGTGTTCCTGTCACAAGACCTGGAGCTTGTGCCATGCCAAGTAGTGCTAGCAGGGGAGGATGAGAGAGTGAGTGAACAACCCTGCAGCTTCCCCTTTACAGCTTCTCTGCAGCTTTGATCACATCTGCCATATAGTTGCTGTACTTCTGTCAAAGTCCCTTGAAGGGGTAACTGGCTCAGCGCAGCCTCCTGCTCAAGCAATGCTTTGTCTCAGTGTTTCACTGCGGGCAGGACGCACTTTCTTTGCCCGTGTCCATCCTTTCATACTGGTGTGATAATCTGGTTTTGCTGTGGATATCACAGTCAGAATGAGGAAGACTTCAAATTTAAATTTTTGTTTGGTTCTCTTGTCTTGCACCAAATGCAATTATTTTAAGATTGTTCTTTCTGTGTAGTATTTTTTTCTGTGTCTTTTTTTTTTCTCTTTTTTTTTCACTGTCCTGTATAGCTATTTTTGTCTGTAGACTTAGCCTGTGTTAATTGCCCAGACTATGTTAATTACTTCACAGGGTATTTTTTCAGTTCATGGTAATCACTAGGTGACAGTTTTACTGCTGAGCTATCTGTGTGTTTGCATAGGTGCTGACTGGTCTCGCTCTTTCACAGCACAAATACCTGGACGCTGGTCAGCAGACAGAATCAATGTCTGAGGGTGTTAGCTACAGTTCCCTTAGCTGCAGTGCCATTTTTATTTTCTGTGTGATAGGTAAGGAGAAAGATAACAGGTGATATATCAATTTAAGTATTGCATCAGTTGTGAATTTTAAATGCCTGTTCTTATAGTGTGTAATAAGTTACTTAACCGTTGGGGCATTCTTGTATACGTACAGCAATTTGTAAAGGTCATGTTATAGTAAACTATTGACATTTGTCTGGTGTGACATCTGTTCTACAAAGACCATTTTCTACTGGTCTAAAATATTAGTCATATTGTTTAGAACTGTCCTAGCAATTTTTTTTTTTTTGCCACCTGATCATCTTTTATTGGAAAGTACCTCCAAATAAATAATCTGTAGAGTTTTGTTTCCAGAATCAAGCAAAAGAACACCTGACTTGGAGTAAAAACAGGACTTCAAGTTGGTGTTTTATAGGGAGCACCATTCAAGGCCAAAAAGAGTGCAAATACCTGGGTAGGGTTTTTTTGGCTTACATTACATGCTCTTTATAACTTTTTCCCAGCATTGATTATCTGGAGTGTCAGCATTACTAAACCATTTATATCATAAGAACCTACTTGGGAAAGGTAGAACTAAAATGGCACCATTCTGCAATTAAAATAATGAATAAAACTTAACGGTAAAAGCTGTGAGATAGTCTTCAGTCCTGTTATCTTCCCCTACTGTGTCTTTTTATGAATAAAGACTTCTAAGTTCTTAAGAGGCTGTGTTCTTTCCATTCAAGCAGTAGCTTTCATTTTGGGTGAAGTACCTCCTTTATGAAAGCAAGCTAAACAAAGCTGAAATTCTGTGGTTTTTTCTTTAATGGACACGGCACAGAACTTGCAAGCCCTAAAGGAGGTGATTGAAAGGATCTCCAGTGCTATGACACTTCCTTGCTCCCAGAGTGCCCTACTTAAGGGTGTGGTAGGATACACAACCCTCGTGATGTTTAACAATAGTTTTAAGGTAACCTCAGTGCAAGTTTCTGCTTTCCCCTAGTACCCTCAGCTGTGCATTCCATAGCTCTCCTTACAGATGAGCTGGGAAACAAGCTTTCAGGTAGGTCAGTTTTCTGTCCCATTACACAGTTGTTCAAATGACAGCACCTGAGGACAGAGTCAGAGCCTGTGGGAGCTGAAGAAGTCCTTTCCTTCATGCAGAGAGGCCTTTGGGAGGCTGTATCTAGGGGTCTTGCACCAGAGGAGTCTTTTCCCCTCCAAGCTTTTATATTGTCCTCCTGCCCAAAGGGAGCAAAAGAGAGGGTTAGAGCTTGTTCCTTTGAGTACTTGGCTACATCTGATAATATTTCATTAAGCGGTGAGCATTTGCACACGTATACTGCAACAGCCATTTATGTACATGAAATAATCAGCATTTATCACATGTGTTTGACCACAACAGAAATGTTTTCAATAACATTGACATAATTACAGCATGCCGTACTTGGGGGAAAAAAAAAAAAAAAAAACCAACCCAAAACAAAACCCAAAACAAAACCAGAGAAACTTTTTTCTGGTTTGGAGACTGTAAATTCAGTGCTTGAAAATCTCAGCAGATCTTGTTTACCTAATGTGCAACTGTAGTGGGTAAGGATGATGCCATAGCACTGTATTTGTCTCTCAAGAGCACCTCAGTCAAATTTCTTGCACTTCACTGTGAAATACTGCCTCTTCTAGCTGCCATCTCTGCGTGCTCAAAGTGCCAATATCAACTTGATTTCTCTCCACCTTGCATACCATTATTAACAGTAAGCATTCTGCTATGGATGTACAACCTCATCCTGCTTAAAGCTGAATGACTTTATTTCTGAAAGTCCTTGGCATTCTGGCAGCCCAAGGTTAGGGGTTTAGTGAGAAATGCTGCATAGCCTATTGGAATTGAGATAAGAAGTAAGAACCCTTAGACATGAATATGGAAAGAAATTAGGGCATTTGATGCAGAATATATACAGAAGACAGCCCTGTTGAGAAAGGCTGTTCTTTTTGTGTAATGATTCCTGACCTTGAAATTTTTTTTACTCTAAAAACGGCATTGACTGCCGGTGTAAAACAGTAAGCCGTTTTGTTTTCTTGAAAGGAAGCCTACAGTTATAACATGAAATGTGCAAAAGCTAAGGTTCCCCTAGCAATGTCAGCCTTTTCAGATGATGTAGACTCAATTAAGGCAAGTGCTTGGAACTATACTATATGGAAAGCTTTTTTAGAAGTAACTGCTGCACATCCTAACTCTTGTCACCTTTTAAACCTTAAAGGTGCATCAATATAAGGCATTTGATCTTGCGGCACAAAAAGATCTAGGAAAGGTCTGATTCTTTCATTGTCACTTAACATGTATGTACACACATATATACACACGTATATACACACAACTATTTGAATTGGAGGCACTGCAAGGAAATGTTTAGCCAAGGCTTCAGTACCTATAACTGCACTAAGCATAACAGGCAAATAAGAAAATGCAAAATTGGGCAATTTTAAAGTGGATATGTTTTTCTTATAAGGCTTTGGTGTCATCATTGGCTTAGCCGCCACCTTTGACAGGGTGACACAAGAGGGTTTTGAATAGACTCCCTTAGTGGTCCTGCTGGAGTTCTGCCTGACAGACTTCTAGCGATGCAGCAGCCACCATAACATTAGTGAAAACATTTACTTTTTTCTCATCTGCGCAGACAAGGTGTTCAGAATTCTGGGCTCAAGGAATTAAGCGGCAAGAGAGCTGAGGGGAAGCTGACAGCCTGGGAGGCAAAAGTTGGCTAGAAAATGGGCTCAGATCAAGCTTCTACCAGTGACCACTGTCACTGGGAACACTCTTAACTTCCCAGCCCTTGAAGCTTGTGATATTGGTGCTCTTCTGCTCTCTCTGTCTGTATTCAGTGTAGTGGACCTTACCACTTCTTCTGAGGCATTCTCCCTTTCCCTCCTCATACTCAAAACTCTTTTGTGGGCTCTTAAGTTTTCTGCCTCCCCAGCAGAAACCCCTCATTTTTCAATCTGACACTAATCTCTAATTCTGTTTAAAATTAGCCAGGCTAATCTTCCTTTCCCATTCATCAGACTGCGTCATTTCCTTCCTTCAGTTATCTTCTCACCTACTGTATCGAGTTCAAACTTCTTATTTAATTTTTTTTCTAGTTCTCTAGTTCTTTTCCCTTTCACCACCAATGCCTCTTAGATAGCTCCATCATCTTCACACTATTTTATATGCTGCTTTCTGGGCTGCTATGTTCTTCTCAGCCCATATGCCAACACTCCTCCATTTCAGCCATAGACTCTCTTGCTCTGTGAGCATATGTGTGTGATTCTCTGACACTTGTCCTGTGTTAGACTTGTTTATTGAATCTTTTTGCAATATGGACTGTGGTCTGTACGTGATAGTGCTTGCTACAATTCAGGATATTCTAACAATGTATTATTATCATCACTATAACTTATAGCTAGCAACTCCATCACTAGAAGTATGTGGAAATTTTATGTCATTAAGCTAGGGGAAAAAAAAATAAATATGGGCATTTTACAGGGCTAGAACCCTTATTCCTGTTTACCTTTCCTTTAGCTTTCCCCTGTGAATTTCTTAGCCCTGAACGCAGGCAACATTTACAGTTTGAAATCCTCGATTTGGGTAGGCTGAGAACAGTGACTTACAAGTGCTCATTTGTCTGTGTATCAGACTCCAGGCATGAAATGGATTTTTAAAGTCTGCAGGATGCTGTTGGGAGGGAATAAGGGAGAAAGACGTTACAGTACAAAGTAGTATCTTCTGTTGGCCTAATCGTATATTCTTACTCCCTCTTCCAGTGGTCTCTTATGCTATGTCTTCAAGGTGGTAGAGTAGGTTTTACCTGGCGTACTAATAAAGTACAGAGAACACGAGTGGTCTAGTCAGGGATCTGGGTTTAGGAAGTAGGTTGGAGGAACGACCCCACTATCCTTAAGTACCCAGCTGGAGTTAGTCATATGGTTGTTCCCTTTCAATATGTCTTCCTTTGTCTCTGATTTGCTATAACTATAGCATTTGAAATTGAGCTCTGAACTTTGAAATTGAAAAATAGCAGTTTAAAACCGACAAAAGAAAACTTAATTTTTCAAAGCAATACATGCTGAGCTAGAGGAACTCTCTCCAGCAAATAATGTGGAGGCTGAAAACATAGCTGTTACTCTATAGTGTTAAGCAGCTCAGGGAAAATGGATCTTACTACAAAAGGGAAACATTCCAGTTGCACAGACTTACTCCTGCAGGGGCTGAAGATAAGAAGCATTAAAATTGTGCCATTTTTACATAAAGGAAAGACTCATTTTACATGATCTGGCTATGCTATACACAAGAAGGATGTCCCCAGCTGAGGACCTGGGGTTCATCTCGCTCTGACACACATCTGACCTAAGGTAAATTACTCCTGGCATCAGTTCTCCATTTATCAGGTAGAGATGATAATACCTCATCTCTCCCTTCTTTCAGTCTTGTCCTTTAGCTTTCTGACTTCTCTGGGGCAAGCACTGAGTTCTAACCCTGTGGTTTAGAACTGTTAGCACAACAAAAGCCTAAATTTTGAAGATTTTACATCCTACGCTTAACGTATGTGTGAATATTGTTCTCTCATGAAAACCTGCCTCGGTGAACTGAGTCATTAGATACTGAGCTTTGTGGGTGAATACACAATAATTGTCCTCTAATAGTGTTTAGGCCCCTTACAATTATGACAAATTTAACAATATGATATGATTTGGGGTGATTTACCTTAATAGCTGTTTAGTAACCAGTCGTTCAGCCAACACTAGCTGTTGCTGATGGGGCTGTCATGGTATTTCAGTGTTTCTTTGCACTGGAAACTCTGAAGTGGGGTGTGTCTGACTTGAATGACTTCACAGCTTCAAAGTTATCTCTGTATTTTCCTGGCTACTTGTAAGCTCTATTGCAGGTTAAGATATTACTACCACTCCCCAACATGCGAATATTCTCATCTATTCTCTTCTGCCTCACTGTGAAGTTATCCAACATCATCCATCTGCTTCTGAAGTTTGTTTGGAATGAGTTGTGTGACTTTGCACTGGAGCAGTTTCATAGATTATCTGAAGTCAAGGCAGTTTCTTTGTGATCATATGCCTGTGCCCTCCCCCCGCTTTTTGTGTTTTCCAAAAGCCTGAGTGTTGCTGACATCTAACAATCTAGATTCCTTCACATTAAGATGCTTTTAAAAAATGGGCTGGCTGTTGGCCTGTAAAACTTAATCAGGAAACATACTTACTTTGTATGTAGAACATGTAACCTGTCAAAAATAAGGAAGCAGTAAGTGCTTTCAGGAGTGTAAAGTATGTAAATAATAACAGTGGAAGTGAAGGTTTTGTGATACTAACCTATGCTGTTGCTTCTTTAAAACTAGCCACAAGAACTAAGTAAAAAAGTTTTCAGAATTTTTTGGTTTTCCTTCCTGTCTCTTTCATGTGAGATATTTTGATGTGATAAATTATGCTTGATAAAACTATTGCATTTTCACATTCTTCTCCAAAATTCCATGGGGCACTGTTTATGGTTTCAGCCAGATGAATGTCCTTTTATTTCAGAGCTGAGAGCAGAGGTTGAAATTATTGAGCAGATGAGCAGCAGCAGTGGAAGCAGCTCATCGGATTCAGAAACCTCATCTGGGAGTGAAGATGAAAGCTCCAGCAGTGAGGGGGAAGAGCCGGCACATGTTTCCCCTTCCCAGCCACCACACCAGCAGTATAACAACAGGAATGCTGTTGCTAACGGCACCAGCAGGCCGCAAGGAAGCAATCAGCTCATGAACACGCTCCGTAAGTAAAGGCTTGTGTCTTTTCGCTGTGGGAAGCTGCTTGAGACCACTCGTTTTCTTAGCACGTTAGGCTAACTCCGTGAAGTGCAATTTGCCAAATGGTAATCCCAGGGAGTTGCACTGGCTGCAATAATGTGGGCAGGTTTTTCAAACAGAGGGCCGAGACCTGTCTGAAGGTGTGGAGATTGCTTCAGTTTGGTCTAGAGCCTGTTGGCATCGGTGTAATGGCCCCCATTGTTTGTGCTGAGCCTTGATTCAGGCCTCCAGGTGGAATGAGAAAAGCGTCACTGTGGGAGGATCTGATGCACTGGAGGATGGGAATTATTTTGACTCGAAAACACAGATTAGACATAAATAGTGAGATTGTCACGTGTGTCAGTTAAAGGTCTGTAAAGAATTGTGAATGGTACAAGGCTGCCCTATGGTCATAAATGCACAGTCTCTGTGGTCTTCATTATTAGCTGTATTGCTTTGTTAGAGTGTTCATACTGTGTTGGTCTCAGCTGCATTTTCACAAATAGGAAAGGAAATTCAAAGTGTGACATACTTGGTTAAAAATACTACAGCTGTGGCGTTTGCAAGCATTGAATCAGTTCAAACTCACTCCTTTTAAAAAGTGTAAAAAATGTTTTTAAAGCATAGTTTTGTCCCATGAGACTGTGTCTGGGGAGATGGTGTACATCTGTGTTACTCTTTCCTTATGCTAGATCCAAGTATATTCTAACTCAGTGGAGTTAAAATATTGCATTTACAAGAAACTAGAAATTAGTTATCATAAATTGTTCTTAATTCCTCCTGGGGCATGTCTGTGTACATCTCTTGGCACCCACACACAGGGAACTGGTGGAGTTGAAATATAGATAAATGAAGGGTTTCCAGCTTTGAGAAGACAAGTATGTTATACACACAATACTGAAAAGGCCTGCTGGAAAACTGCAGAGACCTGTCAGTCTTCCTATCAGTAATGAATGTCTAAGTGAAATCCAAAGTTCAACAAAATCAGTAGGACTCTTTCCATTTCCCTGTTTCTGGTTGTGAGCTGCCTCTTCCCTGCTTCTCCTGGGCCATGACAATACTGCGTAGGTCATTGAAAGCCAAGAAGCTTCTGACTCCAGCAGAATTTGGCAACTGGTAGGGTAGCTCCTTTTTTCAGACAATGTTTTTTGCCTTTGGATTTAAAATGCTTTTGCCAAGCATCAGTATGTCCTTGAGCATTCAAGTCGCTGGTGACCCTCTACATGAGGAGGTTCACCATGCTTACCATAACCCGAGTTCTTGTTTCACAAAAGGGAGGAGGAGGTGAAGAAATCCAGGGCATAGCCGTTGCCTAGCTGCTCTGCAGCTGTTTGGGGCAGGGCCGTGGGAGAACGCTGGAACAGCTCGGTCTGGTTACCAGAAATTCTTGCCCCCTTTTATCCCCGCCACCTCACCAAGTCACAAGTGCCCTGCAAAACAGGGTCTGAGACTGTCGGTCTGATCCGTATCCTGGCCTGGCCGCCTTTTGTCTGATCTCTCTTTGCGCTTTGGAGGCAGGCCTTCACTGTCACAGCATGTGTCAGCTTAGATCAGCCGATAGCCGGGAGTTGTGATGGCTTTAACATTCCATTTGGTTTATTGACATGCGTAGGCCTTGTCTTGGCTACCCAAACGGCCTTAAAACAAAAAAAATCGATTTTTAAAAGGGCTGAGAAAGCGAGGGAATTCCCCAATGCCTTGTCCCAGAGTCATATAGGGGAGCTTGACTGGGTAGAGGCTGCAGAATGCCTTCTGCCCATGCTGGTCTCCTACCAGAGAGCAGCTTTGGTGGCTGTGGAGCCAAGGACGCTCAGTTTGGCCTGGATCTGACTGTGTAGTGGCCCCATGCAGCTCCTAATGTTCTTGGGCATGGAGAACCGTTCAATTAAATGACAGATGATATTTGCATTCACTTCTTGTGTTATTCTTATTTAAATCTTCCAGTGTAAATGTGACTGTTCTTTGGTTTGATTGCCACGAAATGTGAAATGTGAATTAACGCCTACTCACTTGTTGTGTTTTGTTGGTTTTTGTTTTCCATAGGAAATGACTTGCAGTTGAGTGAGTCTGGGAGCGACAGTGATGACTAGAGGCTGAGCTTTTGCTGTTTCTGTTACATATACATGAAGAACTAATTTACCTTGAAGTGATCCTAGTGCTTATGAAGAGGAGCTGGCACAGCGATAGTTCCATGTGTGGAATTTTAATAGGAGAAATGCATAGCCCTACAAAATAGCAAATGTTGAGGGCTGGTTTACTTTGTGAATTAAGTGTATATTTTGTGTATATTCTTATTCTTTTAAAGCTTTAAATAGATATGTACAGTGGGTAAGCCAGTATATGTTCCTATCTATGTTCATGTCCATCATCTGCAAGTTTAATGTGTAACTATATGATGTAATCTGCAAATGTCTTGTTTGTGGAAGATACTCAGCCCATCATGACCTTTGGGGGGGACTTTTGTATATAGGGTGAGCATGAGCCAACAATGAGTTTAAAAAACCATGCAGGAGCTAGTGCGTGCACTGAAGTGGGACTGTCGTAAATTAAGTTTCAATACTAACTTGATTTCTTTGGTTTGGGACTTTTCTAATGTCTTTTTATTGCTATTTATGGTTGATTTAATGGACTTACTTTTAGACAGTTAGAAAATGGAAATCATGAAACCATGTTTGCCACAAACCTTGCTGCACCGGTGCCTTATAAGCAGGTTTTTTAAATAGCGCTTCGATCCCTGACACCTTTTCTATAGGGAGCAATACTGAAACCTCAGATGGCTTTTGCAAACAGGAGCTGTATTTCACATGCAGCCAGCTGGACTCTGAGGGCAGTTACTGTAGCAAGGTAAAGGATATACATCAGTCACGTGAACACATCCAAATAAGAACCAGATTAGCATTTTCTTTTGCAACTGAAGTGTCTCGTTTAACCCAGACATTCAGACCTAGTCTTCAGAAATATGTAGGAGCCCGATTACCAATGAAATTGCAATGTCACAAATACAAGATATTGGACTTAACTGGAATTGTAAGACCAAAGCCCTCTTTGCAGTTTCCTAGAGAATGCAGAAAGAAGAGGTGACTGAACAATTAACCGTGAAACAGCAGAATTCTCTATCCCACCACGGTTGTCCAGGTAGACTTCAGTCCATACTGTTGTTGGACGGGATCTCTGTGCTTGGCAGGAGTACACAGAGCAGGAAATATTTGCCTAGGGTGAAATTCACCCCTGTTTAAGGGGGTTTAAAGGGTGCTTAGTTGGGTTGTCATTAACTTTTTTTGCTTGCATGAAGATGAGTGCCACAGGCAGCCTGTTACAGCTTGAACACCAGGCTGACTTTTTAAAACCAAAATTGAACTGACATAGGACAAGTGGTGCCATAGTTGTGGTGTCATCCAGGGGAATGAGAAGCTGAATTGAATGCCTCTCCGTTCTTAAGTGTCTGCTTTGTACTGCTTTTGTCTGGTAGTTTGTGTTTTAACTCCTGTTTACTGAGCTCTTTCCTTTTTTTTTTTTTAAGGTGTTGAAGAGCAAGGGGACATTTGAAGGGAGATTTTACTAAATGGTTTATTTTTTTGCATTAGATACATATTTAGGCATATTTTTGCATTATTGTACATACATTTAAAAATACTTGGTTTTTTAAAAGTGTTTTGTGATGTGGGTACATATTTTAACAGACAATTATGAAATATACTTGATGTAAAGCCACAATTGCTCTCCTTTTTTTTCTTTTTTTTTTCCCCCCCCTGTTCCTCCTCCGACAGTAAAAGTGCTTTGTTTTAGCAAGCTTTTACCAATTTGGTATTTTACACCTTGGTGTAGGAGATTTGCATGGTAGTTGAAGGTCTAATTAATGCTTCTGACTTTTCCTCAGCTTAAGATCTGAGTAAGCAGGGAGGCATTTCTCTGATGCCATTTCCTCATTATTGGAGCTTATTCCTGAGTTCTGTTGACTTTATTTGCGCTTAAATGGAGCAGCGGTGCAGCATTTTCATTGCTTACCATTTGCTGGCTGCTCATGCACTCTAAAATCCAGGACATGTCATAGGAAGTTTACTAATTATGTGTAAATAAAATAGGTGAAACTTAGGATAAGACACCACCAGGCTCCATTGATTTGAATTGCCAGTTTAATTACAGTTTAGATCAGCGAGTGGGAAAGCTTCATTCAGATAATCAATTTCTGCCTTGTTTTGTATTTGTACTCTAGGTCACTTTTCCTTGCTGTCCCTCACTAGAAGGTTTCTCCCCCTCCCTGTTTGTGGACAACCAAATCAACATATTTTCACACAGCCACACCACTTTTAAGCTACATTTGGCCATCCTTTGCGTCCCCTGGCGATGTGTCCTTTCAAGGGAGGCCAGCCTGTTGTTTCCGAGCTGTTTAGCTGCAGGTCCCACACCCAGACCACAGTGTCTGGCTGCCCGTGGGGCTGGTGAGTGACAGTGGCCCGCAGCGTGCTCGTGGGCGTAAGCAGGCCAGTCCCTATGCGTGTGTGACCCGCCCGTCCCCTCCCTGCCACTGTGTCCCAAGCGGCTTCTGGCATCTCCTGCCTGAGAAGCTCCCCGGGATCTCCAGCCTTCCCACAGCTCTCACGGGTACGTGGGACATGTCTTGTGAAGGTGAGCCACGTGGAGGCTTCAGTGGGCACCTTGTGAGATCAGAAAGGGTGGCTGCTGCTTTTTCCCTTTTTCTAAAGACACATGTGAGTGTGTTTTAAAGCCATTGCCAGCCTGACATTTCGATCGGGGCTCTTAAAGTTTTATGTTTCGTATATTAGGAAATAGTAAACATTGTCTGTTCCTGTTACATGGTTGTTCATTTGTTCATGATTTGCAGCAAGTTTTATTCAGGTGGAAATTGGAATTCAAATTACTTGCAGAAAAGCAGTTATTTAGAATTCTTTTAATTAGTTGGCAATATCTGTAACATGCTGGTGAAATAAAAGTTGACTAAAATATGTTTTGATTAAACTTGTTAATGAAACTGAGTATTCCTGGTTTATTTCTGGTGGGTTCTAATCCTGCAGGATTTTAGCACTAGCAGATCTCACCACCTCACACTAATTTTTCCACGTAAAGTAGGAACATCTTTTATATGCCAGTTAGTTTAAATGTGAATTAACGGTGCATATGGAATGCAATTTTCTGAGTGAACTGAAACTGAGTAAATAGTTCTTTGCATTCATGGGGGAGCTGCCTGCTGGCTATGGCGAGGTTAGCAGTTCAAGACAGCTTTGGTTTATTCTGGTCAGTGACTTCATCCGTTTCGGTGGTTTGACTTGAAACTTCACCAGCAAACAGGGCCTGCCTGTGATTTTTCCCATAACTAAAATTGCTTTAGGAGTAATAATCAATAATGATTTAAATCGATTCAATGGGATTGTCATAATTTCAAATACTGTTACAAATTTTCTTTTAATAGAAAGGATTGGTTTCCAAAGGGACAAATTCAGCCACCTGCTTGTCCTGGTCCTTAGACACCTTAAGATAGGATTGCAGCAATGACCAAGCTGTGTTTCAAATTTTAGTGAGGTGCAGGAAAGCTTCCACCCGCCTCCGCCCTTGTTCCAGCCCCGAGGGCTGACCAGCCCGCTACCAGCAGGCACGGCTTGAGCCACTCCAGCTGAACCACAGGCACGCTCACCTCCGGGCAAAAAGTGTCCCTGTCCCTGGTGAGAGTCACACGTTTGTAAGAGTGTGCAGCACTACCTTTTCTTCTGCCACCAAAGCATCCCCCTTCTGCCACAAGTCTTGGCTGAACCAATTTAGTTGAGAAGGCAGACTGATAGCAAAATGTTTGGCTTTTTTCAGCATTGCTTGGAATAGCTCAAAGCTTAACTGTGGGTAGTACATCTATTTTGAAGATACTGTGCCGAAGTTGATTTGCACAGTTTGCTTTATTATAGACTAGCTATGTGCCTGTTCATAGCTATGTATAGAGACAGTTTGCTGTGCAAAGCTTTATAGTCATCTTTTCCTCTTTCAAAGTCCACTTATTTTGAATAAAAAATGTTCAACAACCCATGCTTGTCGTCATGGGGGTTTTTTGATCTCTTTTTTTTTTTTTCTTCTTTTTTTTTTTTTTTCTTTTAATTTGGAAACTAAGAGAAATGTAGCCTGGAATTATTGGTGATGGAGAACACTTATTTTCAGTAATCGCCCATGCTTCATTGTTCAGTGTGCTATGCATTTCCTGCTAGCCGCTGAGTCAGAGATCCTATGGAAAATACCACTGCCCAGCAATGGGTGCCTGAGGGGATGAAGGCTTCTGGTAGCTCTGAGGGCCTTGGGTTCAGCTCCTAACGATGAATGAGAGCATTTTGAATCTACTTGGCTGTTCACCGGTTTTTGTACACACACAAATACATGTAATAGCAAAGGAAAAAGAGTATTGCGGATACTTGCCTTAAAAACAGAAGCTGTTATGTTGAGGAATTGCTGGGACAGATGTGTGCACCTGAAGTAGTTGATTGTTGTGTATATCATACAGCCAAACCCTGTTCTCAGAACATCATAAGCTGATTAACAAAGTAATAGTCAATAACTACCTCTGCTTTGTGTGAGAAGGGTGCCTCTATCAATTGAAAGGTATCTGTTTAGCTATCTCTTCCTATTCCCACTGCTTACACTCCCTTCCTTTCTTTTGTAATTCCACTATTTCCAGCATATGTGTGCTTTCCTGCAGGAATTTACAGGAAATGGGGTGGGTGTTGAAATGTTACAAACGCTTTAATTGTATTCACCCTTGCTCTAGATTTATTGTAGATGACAAAGACCTTGTGAATGGACCCATCTTCCTCCCCGTCCTTGGCTTTGCCTTTATCGGGACTAAACAGTATTCCTCTGGCAACCGAGAAAGAAAGGGCAAGATGTGAGAGTGTGAAACACCCCAAGCTGCTGCTGGTCCACTGAGGATGCTCTCTGTGTTGGCCTGGCTTGGTCTCGCAGCATCATTGTAAATAAAATGCAAAATTCATTGCTGCCATTGCCCTGTGGCTGGGAGAAGTGGAGTTTGGACAAAAAGTGGGTGAAAAATGTCTTGCTAAAGGGGTTTCTGCAAGGGTTTTGGTGAGATATTTGGCGCTGCTAAGTTTCGTTAGCTCTGCCAGTGAGTTTGTGTGTGCTGTGCGTAGTGGGGGTAACCATGTCTCCCTGACTTTTTGGGCAGATGCTCGTGGAAGCAGGGGCTGGAGCGAGGCTGACATGGGGCTTTCTACGTGTTGTTGGATTTAGTTGAACCATGGGTTTTCAAAAAGGCACTGACAAGCTAAACGAGACAACTGATGGGATATCTTGGAAGGAAATGTATGAATTTGACTTGAAATCCCACAGAATACGTAGGTTCTTGTACATTCGCCAGTGACTTTAATTCTCCTGAACTTTTGTAAAAATGGGGTTTTCTGAAGGGCAGAATGTAAAAATGCACTAAATATCATGTTGAAGGTTTTACATTCAAATTTTGACCTGCATTGCTTCCCAGACCAGCTAGCTTTGTTGTAGGAGTCTGTGTGAAAACCTTCGAGGCACACATGCACAGGGCCTGGTCTGACGGAAAACGTTCCCTGCATGTTGTAAGTAAGATATAATTGTCCACTTCTTTGCAGCCCCAGCCAGCCCGTAAATTCTGCCATCACCCCT